TTTTATAATGTTACAATATGACTTTAATGTAAACTTGGGCACCATTAGGATAAACACAAAGTAGTGCATATTCATTGAATTAATACTCATTTTCTGAAAATTCCTTAGCCACAGAAAGCTCAGTAACTTCTAAACAAAACTAAAATCATTCTTAGAATAAATTTAGAGAAAAAACAGTATGCAGCAGTGCAGAATCTTTATTTTATAAATCAGAAATGTATTTTAGTTTATAATATTCTGCAGAAAGAATATGGATTTTGGAACTCATCAAGACCTGGCTTGGCAACTCTGTTCTGCTGCTTACTGGGCGTGCCATCTTGGATCTGTGACTCAATGCCTTTGAACTCTAAAATTCTCACAAGGCAAGAGAAAATATTAATATCCAATTCACTTGAAAAACCTGAGATGAATGAACTCCTTTTGAGCTGTTAATGAGGCTAATGAATTCAAGGGCACCTGTGGCACCTACCCCCACATCTGGCACATTAATAAATGGTAGCTACGATTATCATTTTTGTTTTGAGAGCTTTTCTTTTGACTCCTTACTTCCTATTGCCTATGGAGGAATATGGCTTCCCCAGTAGTTAAAGAGTATGAGTACAGCAGTCTAAAACATCTTTAAATTGGGGAACTACCATTTACTAGTTTATTAATCTATTTCCTAATGGATCTGAGCCCCAGTTGCGTAGGTGGGTATATGAAGAAAACAAAATCTTGCAGGGACATTCTAAAAATTCAAAGTGATATATTTTAAAGTGTCTAGCATAGAACAAGCATTCTGTTACAGTAGATATTATAATTCTTATGAGTCTTCTCTCAGGTGCTATCCTGCCCTGTGTTAAAGAACCTATGTTCATGAGTATTTTTTAAGTAAAAGTAGGAAAATTTTCCTCCATTATATTTCACATCTTTGCAGAAAAACATAACTTGATATCATAAATGTTATTTTTATAAATAATATTTGTATAATGACTTATAGTGTACAAAATACCTTTACAGGGGCACCTGGGTGGCTCAGTGGGTTAAAGCCTCTGCCTTCAGCTCAGGTCATGATCCCAGGGTCCTGGCATCGGGCTCTCTGCTCAGCAGGGAGCCTGCTTCCTCCTCTCTCTCTGCCTCCCTCTCTGCCTACTTATGATCTCTGTCTGTCAAATAAATAAATAAAATCTTAAAAAAAAAAACACCTCTATAACTTGAGACAATGCTCTAAAAGTGTTCCCCAAATTGGGGAACTCTTTGCTGTGATTACTCCAATCATTATTCTGGCAACCCATTCTACCATCAAGATGTTTAATTACGAACAATAATGATAAACTTCAAATATTAAGGCAGCTACTTAAAAGTTAAATGTGTTATGTTATAGGCCTATGTTTTTAGAAATCCTTGGCAGTTGAAATTGGTTAGATGAAACTGAGTGACTGGTTACAGATTCTCCATCTCAGCAGTGGAAGCCTTCTCCAGTCAGGCTTTAACAAGAGACACTTCCAGAAGTGCTTTCTTAATTTCTCTTTGACTTCTTGAATATTGTTTAAAGTATCAGTTAGGTTTGCCACTGTTGTCACTGAGGTTAAAATATAATTTAAAAAAATCTGATAGGTGGTTTCTGGAACTTATTATGTAAACAAATGAAAAGTAAAAATATGGGTAACTTTCTTACATCATGGATTAGATCAGATGCTGAGATTAATGACTACTTATCTAAACTCAGAAGACATGCAATTAAATGCTCAAGAATAGAAAGCACTTTACAGTTCATAAGACAAAGATGTTTCTGCCAGCATAGTAACTTAACTGAAACACATGCATTAAACTCACCAAATACATTACTTCCCTCAATGTTTACAAGGTCAAAACCAGACATCAGCCACAACCTGAAATGTATTGAGTTGCTCTGAACAACTTTTGGACGGATCGCTTCAAGAACCAGCAGGCTGGTTCCCACTAAGGCCCCTGGGGTGTTCCATACACACGTGTACTTTGAGAACCAAGTGTTTAAGGACAGCATTACTATGTTTTTTTATTTTATTATTTTTTTAAGATTTTATTTATTTATTTATTTATTTATTTGAGAGAGATAGTGACAGAGATAGCAAGAGAGAAAGAGCACAAGTGGGGAGGAGAGCAAGAAGCAGTCTCCCGCCTTACAAGGAGCCTGATGTGGGGCTGGATCCCAGGACTCTGGGATCAGGACCTGAGCTGAAGGCAGACGCTTAACTTACAGAGCCACCCAGGCCCCCGCAGGACAGCATTACTCTTAATCCTTCAGATGAGCAGCCTAACAACAACCGTTCTTTACGCAAGGTATACAGCTCCTGATGCAGTCGTCCTCGTTTCCACTGTTTTATCCTCTATTCAGTCCTTTTACCCTCTATTCAGTTTAGTAATTGTGGCCATTATACCCACGATGTGACATGATATGGGTAACCGCCACTTAGTGACTGATGACTGACAGCACTGGACTGGCATTAGTACTAGAGCAGTCTTTCCCAGGTCTGCCTCCAAAATCTCTACAAAGGCAGGGCATTTGCTTGTTTTTGGCCTTTGCTTTCTTTCACTGCCTGGCATATCAATCAAACCACTCGGGGGGTTCTAAACTCTTTCAGTGTCTATTTTTACCAGACGCATTAACTAGAGCTTATGTTTATAGCATCAACAATAATTTCAAGGCTATTTTACAAACCAAATGTTTTGATCTTCATGATAAAATGACGAGGAAACAGGCATGAAGAAGTTATCTGATGTGCCTGAGTCACTTGAAGCTAGTGTCCAAATAGAGTACCGCCGTCCTGACTTCACCCCCATTGCACTTCACCATTTGTTGGTCTTTGGATTGGACTTACGTGGGAAATTCTTTTCACTAGTTGTGTGATTTTTACATATATTGGTTAGACCCTGAATTTTAGCTTCCTTGTCAGTAAATGGGGGATAACAATACCTAATTCATAGAGTTACTTTGATGGTTAAATGAAATGGTGTATGTAAAGTAAAAATTCTAGAATAAGGCAAGTGCTCAAAAATGTTAGTCCTTCCAATCCTTTCTTGTTGAGTCTTCACCTAAAGCTAGCTCCTTTAGGTCTACAGAGGATCTTTGAAGTTACTCTGTAAACCAGTGGTGGGCCAGGAGAGCTGAGTATATTACTGTATCACTAGGATGGCAACACTTCATCGAACCAAGGATTTATCAGTCATCTACTATATCCCAGCACAGTGCTAAGTACTACAGATGCACAAAGAAGTAGCAGCAGCCAAGGACTTTTGGCAGTGACAAGAACCAGACTTGATTTTCTAGAAAATAAAGATACTCCAAGAGGGGCTAGTCTGCCAAGTTTAACAGGACTTTTTGAAAATTCCCCCAAATAATTTCAAATAGAATAAAATGATTTAAAAGCTTATACATATTAGAGTTTATTTCTGAATGGCACATTCAGCCAAACCCCAAAGTGTTATTACTATAGGCAGTGGTACTGTGACCAAAAAATTTATGACATGGGGTGAGGAAAGGAGCATGGAAGAGCCAATCTCAAAGGGACCTAAGAAAGAAAAGTTTAAAAATGTGTGAGGTGTTTTGCTTTGTTTCCATGACTTGAGTCACCTAGATTATAAAATACCCTAGGGCAAAACTATCCCTTTGGTATTTTCTCTATCTTTCTCCTTGAGTGCCTGGGAACAGAAATATTTATTGAGTTGAATTTCAGCCTCTGAGTCAAACCAGACAGACAACCCCAAAAAAGGTAATTATAATTCCACCACATTTGGATTAGCCCATAAGAAAAGTATTTATAGGCAACTAAAACATGGCACATTGAAAAGATTTTTCAAGGTCAAAGCTAGTGAAATCTCAGCATAATTTTGTTTAAGCTATACACTGCATAGGTAGCAACAGTAAGTTGTGTATGAGGCAATGTGCAGTGTGAAACAACACAGCGTTTAGGGTCAGACAAGTTGGCTCTCATTCTGCCTCTTCTTGTGATTTTAGGCAATGACCAGACCTCTCAGAGCCATAGATTTCCTCCTTTTAGAATGGGAATAATGCAATCTACCTTATGACATCATTGAAAACCTTAACTGAGATGGACTATTACATGTATGCACAGTAATTGCTCGGTAACAATTTTTGAGCATTGAATACATATTAGACTATTCAAAACACTTTTTATATAACTGGTTTAAACTTTACCATAACTCCAAGGGATGGATGTATTAATTATTCCCATTTTAACAGGAAGTTTTCTGAAGAACCTTGCCACGGCCGGTTACTAGCTGGCTGAGTGGGAGCTCAAGCTCAGGCTCAGGCAGTCTCGCTGCGGACCTGTGTTCTCACCATCTTGCTTTGTCCCCTTGCTGGCAGAGCAGCTCATTACATGTCCACCACTCCTCACCCTGGATTCTGGTATAAAAAATTCAACAGTTCCCACCTTTCCAGAAATAAATAGTTACACCGAGGATGCAGGGCACATGCATAAGGAGAGATAAAGTCATACACGACACAAGATGTCAGACGTCAGAGCGCAGTATAACTACAAGTTCTATGGCGGGTTCGAAGGAAGGACATAACGGGGATGGAAAATCGGCAGGCACGCTTTTTTTGACGTAGGTGGAACTTGACTTAGGTCTTAGAGGAAAAGCAGAACTAAAACCAGGAAGGAGGATTTGGGAAAGTTATTTCAGATAGCCGAGACAGCAAGGACAGAGACGCTCTATGTTAGGGATATAAGGCTTGGTGTCAGTGGGAAGGTTTCTACATGGGATCACTGAGACTGGAGAACAGGAGGCACTTTAAAAACATTTTTTAGAACATTTGAGAAGCCCGGAGAGGAAGAAGGGCCTCTCATGGAAGAGCCACAGGGGGTTTCGGAAAGGCGGTGTATCTGCATGAATGGTGCCATGTCATGCCAAGTAGTGCTTTTCCAAAGGCTGATGAGATGGCAGATGTGTAACCCATGGGGTGGGAGGACCAAAAGTTCCATCCCCGAGAGCATGTTAGTCCTCGGGACACAAACCTACATTCAGACACTTCGCAAGGATCCCGCGATGATTATCTGCTTGGTGGATGTTCCATGGCCTCCTCTCACCTGCCTCCGGTCCTTTCGGCTTGTTCCTTGGTTGTTAGCACCTGGGGGTCGAGATGGAGAAAAAGTGATTTTCCAGTTAGTCTTTTATTTTTTATTTTTTAATTTAATTTAAGTTTTTGTTGTTGTTGTTGCTGTTCCTCACTAGCAGTGGGTAAAAATATGTTATGGGAAGAAGTATATTTTGGATGATCAGATTTCCTTCTTTCTTTCTTTTTTAAAGGGTGCTTCCAGGGCCTTTATTAAACAATTTGCAGATGAACAGCAGAGCTTACATTTGAGCCTGACCCTGGAATATGTAACTGTTAATTCCCTTGGAGTAGAGATGGACTTGTAAGTTGGGGACTGCCCACATGCACTTTCAGATAATGTTCCTGCAGCAGAACCTTGTTTCTGTGATTGAAGTTTTTAGGTGAGAGGTTAAATGTACTCTCCTTAAAGATGCCCACATTGTGTATCTCCAGACTGTCTTTTAGAGCCGTATGATGATTATCCATACAAATCATTTTTACCTTTCTTTCCTACTACTTGAATATATTAAGCACTTGCTGCTTCTTCCTAAGTTGAATATAGAACACTAGGAGACCTGAGTAATTCTCTAGCTGCAGAGTACATGTTTGGCTCTGAAACTAGAGTGTTGTATTAGATTAAAAAAGAAAGAAAGAAAGACAGAGTTGAGAAAATGAAACAGACTGCAATGAAACAGGTTTGCAATGCCAAACTTTTTTTTAAGTAATATTTCATTGTTTTTTTTTCCTCAGGCTATTATTAAGAGTATATATGACATCTAAATAGATTGCAAGACCCAGTCCCAATACATCATTATCACTAATATATATTTAATAGTAGATATAAAGATTATTCTGGTCCCAAATGGCCAGAATATTCATCTTTTACACACACATACTTTTTTTTTAAGTTTTGCTTTTTTTCTTAAAAAAAAAAAAAAGATTTATATATTTATTTTAGAGACAGAGCAAGAGAGGCACCTGGGTAACTCAGTTGGCTAAACATCTGCCTTCAGCTCAGGTCAGGATCCCAGGGTCTTGGGATTGAGCCCGGCATCAGGCTCCCTGCTCAGTGGGGAGCCCACTTCTCCCTTTCCCTCTGTTGCTCCCCGTGCTTGTGTGTGCTCTCTCTGTCAATAAATAAGTAAAATCTTTAAAAAAAAAAATTGAGAGTGAGAGCAAGAGCACGTGGGGGGAGGGGCAGAGGGATAAGGAGAGGGAATCCTAGGAAGACTCCACACTGAGTGCGGAGCCCGACGTGGGGCTCGATCCCAGGCCCCTGAGATCATGACCTGAGTTGAGATCAAATGGCAGATGCTTAACCAACTACACCACCCAGGCACCCCGCACCCACCACATCTTTTTCAAGAAAAAGACTTTAAAATTGTATACACTTGGCTAATTGCCAGCTACCAAATCTCTTGTATCTCTTCTCTGATTAACACACGTTATATGTTATGTCTAGTTCTTCCACTTGAATCCCATTCTCCACCTCACTATCCCAGCACTGCCCAAACAGTTCCAGAGAAACCAGAGAACTAGTAGAAAAAAAGTACATTAGGTTTTTTCAGGACATGGCACACATCGGTAGTGGCTACTTATTAGCCAGAAAACTGGATCCATTGCTTATGAGAACCTCTCACATGCTCATAGGCTGCTGACCTCAATGTGAGACAGAGGAAAACAAAGCCTCAACCACTCTGCTTCTCAATTTGTTTGAGAAGCTAGAATTATTTCTAAAGTTCCCAAATAAACAGAAATCATTATAATTATGAATAATTAAAATGCTAAACTCAAGAGGGCACTCAACATTCGTTACATTGCAGAACTCATCCCCTAAGGGTAGTACCTTCAATTAGTTCAGTTTTTACAACAGAAGAAAAATGTGACAATCAGTAATTGCAGGTATTTAGCACAAAGAACAAAACAAGCTAACTTGCTTTTACATCACTCTCTCTCAGCCAGCAGGGGCACTGCTCTCTTTTGGATTTGTAACGTCTATACTAATTCCAGGACACAGAAAAGCAGCATTTGTCAGGAGAGCAGAACAACATCCCTCCTTCAAAGTGCTAAGGAGATGCACTTTGGCTTTATTCACTATTTGGAATAAAGTAGAAGGTATCATATAACAATAAATAGTTTCAAAAGAGAATCTTTTAAAAGATACTTTTTAAACTTATCGATACATTTACTCAACCTACAAATGTTTATTAAGCACTTAACCATGCATTATGGTTCATGCTAAGTGATAGTTACGTTGCACTATAAAAACTAGCCAACAGTTATTTTTTTTTAAACATATACAAATTCCATAGAGAAATCTGAACATAGCAATACATTTTTACATTCTGACAAATATAAAGTTTGAAGTATATTGTTACTATATATAAAATGAAGCTATCCAAAGCATTATTCCTCATTATCCTTGAAGTTGTAAAAAATTATTTTAGTTTAAAAAATTAAATCACAAGTTATTCAGATTTTTCTTCCTCTGAGGCTCCTCTATGAAAAGCATAATTTTTTTCTTACAAAATATTCCCATTTTTTTGCAATAATAAACACTATTACAATAACCAGGGTTTTTCTTAGATTTTTAAAGAACTAAAATAAATGTCATGTTGGAAATGGTTTATCAAAGAGTAACCACAGTTTTGTATCTAAGAGAATGTAGCAAAGCAAATTGTTTTTGCTCTGAGTCAATTTCAAATTGACAACAATGACCCAAGAAAGGGTTATCTGCCACATTGGGGAGATACATTTTGTCTTTCATTTAAGTAGAGGAAAGAATTCATTAGAAGTGTGGTGCGAGTAGTTTCAGAATGATAAATCTCAAGTCACCAATTCCACTTTTAATGATTAGTTGCCTGAGTCTTGTATTTAATTAAAATGGTTATTTTAAATGCTTATATTTAATTTACAGATAATTAGCTGAACCTCAATGTTACTGCTTCATCCATTTTGAAATTAATTAATTTATAAAATAGCTCAAAAAGTGCTGTAAAATTTTAATATTAAGATAAATCAGGGTTCCTCTGCATTTTGTGTTGGTTTCAGTTGTAACTCATAATGAGCCATTGGTGGTAGGTATGACTGCAGGGTCTCTAGAAATGCTAATATGTAGTAGAACCTAATATTGACATATGACTGCCATTTCCTTTGTTACACATGATATGTACTTTAACCTCTTATGTAATAAAAGTTTATATCATCAAGGAAATGACTATTTTAACTTTAAAGGGATCTAAATTTTAGAAACTAATTCTGGCTTTAATACATTTAGGAGGAACCACTGTTTTTAGCAAATGATTCCTAAGGGTGCAACAATTGGTGTTAAAAAAAATCTTTGAGTCAGTCTGATCATGGAACCAGAATGTGTTTTCAAGGAAATGTTCTGACTTTAACTTCTATTTAAACACATAACATAGTTTTATACCTAAGGAACCCAGAGAGAGCAGGTGGTAACACAGGACCAGTTTTCCCTGGCTTACAGAATAGGAGGAAATTCTAACCTCCCACAAGAACTACTGAAGTGGGTTTCCTGGTGCAATGAGGAAGAGCATCCATGAGCAGCCTACTCCTTGGTGTGCTGCGCTAAGCTATGCAAATTTGTCTATTAATGATATTGCTGTCATTTATTAGTTACTAAATAGGTGTTGACACTGACCTAAATGCCTCATGAGCTGGTTTCATTAGACCCATTTTACAGGTGAACAAAGTGAGGCCTAGGGAGTCTAAGGCACCTGCCAAGGGCCATGTAATTAGTGGTGATGGGGTGGATGCAAAACCGCACTCCATAGCTCTGTGTCTCACTGTCCCAGCTCACCAGCTCAGAGCTCCAAAGGAAGCATTTCATTGTGAGATGCTTACCACCACCCCTGCTACCACAGCAAAATACCTCTCCCCTGCAATAATAGTGCGAGTTAATTAAAAGACGAAGGCACCACATTTGGCTCAGCTATTAGGATTTAAAATCTGGTGCTCCCAATATGAGTCTTCTCTCATATCAATCTACACAGAATTTTCTGGTATTTAATTAAAACCTGGTCTGGGTCTCCTACTCTCCAATGAACCCTCCTAGTGGCGAAATCTGCTCCCGCCATTCTCTTATATCAGCTCAAAACTTTTGCATCCCCTCCCACCCTTGAGGATTTTAATTCTGGGCAGCCTCAGCTTCCACGTGAAATGAAGTCACATAGACTGTTTCTCTTCTCTTCACACTAGTACAATTATGTGGCATTCCAGGATGCCTTAAGCTATACTGTATCTCAATTACCTCAACTGCCATCTGTTTCTATTTCTTTCAGCCCTTCTCCCTGGTACCCTAAACAATGAATGATATTCCCACTGGAGAGTTAGACTTAGTGTGTTCTCTGCCAAGGATGTGGGTGACACCTAGAGATACCCCTCCTATTTCAGTAAGATGATATGAGTTTGTGATCAAAACCAATTAACTATTGATTTTCAGTTTGACATTCCAACTATCCACCATTATCTTAATTCTGGAAATCCCCAGAAGATCCAAAGCATTGGATCCATCACAGATTAATCATAACGGGGAAGTACTATGTGAGGAATGAGGAGAGGGAGACATACAGGCACATCTGCTTTGTCAATCTTGCTAAGGCCTTTAAATGCCATCTGTTTTCCATTCTTTCCTGGCTACCATCTTTCCCTAGGTTAAAAGATTTTCCAATGACTGTGGAAAAAAACCTTGAAAACTAGTTTGAGATTTTAATTCTGTATTTCATCTGCCAAAGAGTGAACTACAGTTAGCCTCAGCAAGTGTTCCTAATAGATAAGGGAGTTGTTGCTTCACATAAAATTACACTGAGTCTAACGGTAGACCTAGCCAACCATATCATCTTCATACTATCAGAAGTGCTAGTAAGTCTGAAAGGCATCCCTTTTGAGGAGGGTCTAAGCTACTTTTATTTTACTTCAAATAAGGGTTATCATGGAATAAAACTGATAATTCTTTGGGGGAACAATTTTTGGAACATAAAAAAACGTATGAAC